ATGTGTATGACCTTTCTGGGCATGGGCATGATGTGTATGACCTTTCTGGGCATGGGCTTGCTGAGTGTCGCTTTCTTGGGCATTGGCATGCTGTGCATGGCCTTCCTGGGTGTGACCATACTGTGTGACACAGGGCTGGATGTGGCCTTCCTAGGCGTGGCCGTCCTGACTGGCTCACACTCACCAGCAACTTTCTTAATTTTTCTCCATCTAGATGTGAAGAACCAGTGGAGGGAGGTGGTCCTACAGAGAGCCCCCAGTGTCTGCTCAGCAGTGCCCCCACATCACCTGAGGAATATTAAGGTGTGTGCTTCTCCTGGTTTACCTGCCTGTTCTGTCTGCTATGGTTTAGGCTGAAGCACTTTTTACGAGGGACCTGCTGTGTGTTCGATGCTGGGTGTTCATTGGCCGTGAATGAAAGCCACGTGCAGGGAGGGCTCTGGGGGGCTGGGGAGAGCTGCGGGGGGGCGTGCTCCTGCCCCCTGGACCGGGCCACTGCAGCCTGTTGTGTAAGTGTTCTCTCATCACGGCAGCAGGATGAGGCTGAATGTCAGCAAATCCATTAAACAGCAGATGCTCTACATGTGTGTGTGTGTATGTGTATGTGTATGTGTATGTGTGTGTGTGTATGTGTTGCCAGACCTGTCCCAGGTAAACAGAGTGTGGGGAGGAGGGGGTTCGTTGTCACGGCGATGCCAGGAGCCGAGCAGTCCTGCAGGGATCAGCTTACTCGTGACAGCTTGCACTCTGTCAGCCACAGATGAATGGGGGGGTGGAGCCACCTTAAACAATGTAATGAGCCGTGCGGATCTGAGTCTACGGTGAGGCAGCGTGTGGAACCCAGGGGAACCGATGACTGGGCCGGAACCCCACACTGGTGGAACCGCTGACCAAGCCAGAAATTCACACCAATTGGACTGCAGAGCAGGCTAGAACCCCATACCGGTGGGACCACTGACCGGACCACAACCTCACAACAGTCGGACCACAGACCGGGTCAAAACCTCACACTGGTGGGGCTACTGACCAGGCCAGAACCTCACACCAGTTGGACCGCAACCCAGGATAGAACTCCACGCTGGTGAAACGACTGACTGGGCCAGAATCCCACACCAGTGGAAATCATTTCATATATCTGCTAAAGTTCAGCAGTCCAAATGGACTTTATTGAAGCACACGAGCCCAAAGCAGCCAGTGGCTCCTGCCCTGTGCCGCCTTTTGATGTGAGCGTCCTTAATCAGAACAAGCTTTCTTTCCTGATTAGTTAAACCCAAGTGAGTTTGAAGTCTGCCGGGTGTTTGTATTTTTTAGCTTTTATTTATTTCAAGATGGCGGTGCTGTTTGTGGATCTATTTCAAGCCGTGAAATTGTTCAAGAATGTCTGCTGCAGCCATGCAGGGTGCAGGGGGGCCAGTTTGGGGGGGGGGGGGTATGACATTCGGGCTAAATGGGGGGGGGATCTTACAGCTGTGTGCTGCTGTGTTACACAGCCAAGGCTGCACATCACACTGAGAGTGCAGAGAGGGAATGGTCTTCTGTGGGACCCTGTGTGGCTATTGTATCACACCCAGTTAATGAGAAGTGAAAATCATAAGTGTCCTGTGCGGTGCGTGTGGGAATCCCTGACCCGTGTCCGTCTGCTCCCCAGGTCTCCCTCTGGATGCTGCTGTGCCTGCTGGCGCTGGCCGAGGCAGGCCTTCCCGTTGCGGCCCGCCGGGCGGACCCTAGGCCAGCTCTGGTGGAGCAGCGGCCTGGCCAAGTCATGGAGACGGAGGTTCAGACGGCGGAGCCGAATGCACACGTCTCCTGGGGAGACCTCTTCGGTGAGAACTCGCTGCTGGGGGGGGGGGGTGCCAGAGAGGGGGGGAGGCGGGCTGTCTCCACACAGCCTCTACGGGTGTATATTTTACAACCAACCACAAACGTGCAGAGTATCCGGTCGTGGGAAAGCTTGGGGATACGACTGTGGTCTCGTCTCACAGGGGGAGGGGAGCCAGCCTGTCCAGATCACTACATCCCCCCCCCCCCTTACCCCCGCTTTTATTAGATTAGGGCTGAGTCTGTCTCAGGGGTCACTTCACGCCATGTTACTCTGACACGCTCGCCGTGCTCACGCCGTCTGCCTGAACGCCACCCGTATAAATCTGCTCCGTGACTGACCCCGATCGGCAAGAACCTTTAAACGCAAAAATGTGACCCCACAATGATTAATGTCGTTCCTGGAGTGGAGCCTGCGGGTCGGATTTGTCGGATTGTGGTCACGGTCACGGTCGCAGTGTGCTGTAGTCAGGAGAAAATTAAATCATCCCTGGACATATCGCATTAGTCTGGGAAAGGGTTTGACCCGAAATGATGCATAGACACACCTTTGGCACATGCATGTGCATCAGTGCCACATTCCGGCACATAGCAGCGCATCGGCATCAAAGCAGTGCCCCCCCGTGTCAGGATGAGGCGCAGCGCGTTTAATCGCCCCGACACCCTCTGCATTCCTCAACGTGCTGCTCTACAAACAGCTCCGCTCTACTTCACGTGTTGCTCTTTGGAAGCCACATGAAACCGTTTACAGGAGGTACATTGCGGATTCCTACAGACCCAGCCAGTCCAAAACGATTCCCGGGATTCATTTTAATCCATCCACCACAGGATGCGGTGGCAGTTAGGATTACTGTGGTCAGGAGTGCAGAAGAAACCGCGATTCTGACAAGCTTACTGGGTGTTATTGTGGGAGCAGAAATCATCTCCCTTTAGAACTCAGAAGCTTGGTCATTTAAAATAATCTGTTAGAATAACAGCATTAACTGCCTTTAGATTTCAGTCCGATTGAGGCGTGTGGACGCGGCGGGAGAATGCGCTGGCATGATGGGAGGCTGACTGTGGGGACATTATGGTTTCACACCAGCCTGTTGATAAACAGAGGCTCCCGTCTGCACTGCTGTCCTGTAGCCAGGAGTGTATGTGTCAGTGTCTCCTTTTGGCTGCGGTCACACAGCCTGACTCGAGTTACCAGCCCTGCAGCTACAGAGAAAGGGGACACTTTGCTTTTTGCGGTTCAGGAGAAACGTGGCCGGCTGGGGCTTTGAGCTCCTCACAGGGCCGCCTCACAGGGCCGCCTCACAGGTACGTTTCAGGTTGGACAGAGCAGACCAGGATAGGCTGACACTGACGGAGTGGGCCGGAATCACCCATCGCTAAGAAGAACGTTTGCACACCAGCATGCTTGCACGAGAGGGACTGGTACTAAGTCTAAACAGGCAAATTTATGTAAAACATTCAATTTACATTAACTTAATCCAAATTGTATTTCCTGCTTACTCTACTTGTCCCGTTTTCTCTGTTAACAAGCCTGTTTATGCAAAGTCTTTTTGCATCAATCTCGTTCCTTTTAAGCATTGCTTGGTTAGCACACGATCCACCTGGTATCAATGAGGGACAGTGATGTTTCTGGATCTTTCCGGAGAGCCATCCTGTTACCTGTGTGATCCAGATGGGTGTAGTAGGAGGTATAGATGTGGGTCCAGGTCAGATGATCTCCAGGTCCAAACCAGCTTGGCCCTGCAGCTCTGTCGTATCCTCACTGTTTGCCTCCTCGTTCCACCACAGTGAATCCAACCCAGATGGAACCGGACGACCGACACGGCCGCTGGCAGCGTTCCCCATCCAAAACTGGTTCGCCCCGGAGCTCGCGGAAGAACCGGAGAAAGCCCAAAGGTGACAAGCACTGCAGGATGGAGCGGAAGGAGATGCGAGTGCGGGACTTGGGCCTGGGCTTTGACTCCGACGAGATCATCCTGTTTAAATACTGCGCCGGCACCTGCCGCGGCTCACGCATGAACTATGATCTGGCCCTCAAGAAGCTGGTAGACAATGGGACTATCCCCAAGCAGGAGTCCAAGAAGGTGAGCCTACACCCGTGCTGCCGGCCCACGGGCTACGAGCCGGTGGTCTTCATGGACGCCCAGACCACCTGGCGGACCATTGAGTACCTCTCTGCAGCCAACTGCAGCTGCGTGCGGTGAGGGCGGTGGGGGGCTCGCCCAAGTGACAGTCACCAGGTGGGAGGAGTACCAGGGATGGAGCTGTGCTGGACGCTCAAGCAGGAGACGCCAGGCCCAAAGTGGGATCTGAGGCCTGCAGGGGTCCCTCCTCAGCCCCCAGATGGGGAACAACTCAGCATGGAAGGTTAAGTTCTCTCTGTCTCCAGACCCTGCAGAGAACGAGGACAGGGGTCCCGTCCCTGTTCAGAGGTCTGCAGGGTGGGGACGATGCACCCTATTCCGGAGCAGCATGCTCCTGTTTGCAGGGGCCACACTATGACCATGACCAGGACTGGAAATTTAAGGTTTTAAATTTAAGGACTGGTTTCACAGTCAGATGGAGCTCCAGGGTCTGTTTCAGTGTTGGCTTGTTGGCGGAGTATGGGAGGCGCCGGCATCCGTGTGCGTCCCTCGGCAACAATGGAGGGAAAAGGCACGACGCCGACGCAAGCTTGATTAATTCCAAATGCTAATTACTGAATTACCGATGGACTGTAAACTATCAACACCACGAGCAGACTGGTCGGCGATTAGGCAGTCATAACCGCGAGGTACGTCTCCCAGCTGGGAGCTTGTTGAATAAACATGGATCTGTGTGTCAAGCAGTAGCCCTGTTCACAGCCAAAAGAACTTCCAGAGTGTGTCACATGACTGGTGTTTTGTGGGATGGACCAATCAGATCTTAGGCAGATTTCATCAGGGTTATTCAGTGGGAACCTTAACCCTGCCTTGTCCAAAAAGCCGTGATGTTTACCACCATACGCATGATGGTCAAGGCATGACGGTGGAGGGTGAGCATCTTCTCCAAACACCAACCGCCAGAGAGCATGTTGGTTGATGGGATGAGATGTTCATGGGCTGATTGGGTTGTGAGGGGGATGCAGACAGATGATTGGTGTTCTACAGTCACATGGGCTTTTTTCTCATCTACTTAAATTTCTGCATCACTGTTCAGGGACGCAGCCTTAGTAGGATCGTAGTGTGCCACTAGTGTACTGCCGGAAAACTAATAGGCTAGAAAAGGGAAGAACAGCGAGGTCAGTGCATTGGACTGCAGTAATTTGTCCGTGTTTCTGTGTGTAGCTGTGTACATTCTGCAGGGTTGGAAAGCGGCTCTTCTTTACGTGGCTCCTTGAGCACCACCTGCCTGCCTCCTCTGTAGTGCTGACGGTCGCTCCTCACATACCGCTAACCGCTGTGTCTGTGTCCTCCTCCTGAACCATGGCCTTTAATCGTATGGTTCCCGGCTGATTCATCATCAGCGGCTCAGACTGCCCTACGTGACTGCAGTAGGGGGCGCTCTTCTGTGAGATTGTCCCCCATATACAGTGACGGCTTTGTCTGGGGGCACGTTCTGCCTGCGCCGGGGGTCACTGCAGGAGCAGCCAAGTCTGTCTCCCGTGGGCACTCAGGATTTCTGTGGTTCCTGCTTCACGGTACCGCCATGTTCTCTGTGCTGCTAAGCTCCATGGTCAGGTTTTATGTCGCCATGCCGCACGTGGGAGGCTTATAAAGGGTTAATAAGCCCTGATCCAAGCGGGACTCCTGTCCTGCTCTAAGCCCACTAGACCATAGAAAGAACACATACCTTGGAAGAAAAATGCAAGTTAACTCCTCAGAAATAATTGCAGATGTTAATGAGTGTTTTATAAACCCTTTATGGAAGGTACCTTCATGGAAAGTGACACCGCAGGGTGATGGCAGCTATGGAAAGTGACACCGCGGGGTGATGGCGTCTATGGAAAGTGACACCGCAGGGTGATGGCGGCTGGTTTCCTTCACATTCACCTTCCAGAACTGTTAGTCACACCTCAGCTTAGCATTTTGATTATTGCGCTTCCTGTAAATGCTGTGAAGCTCCCTTTGCTTTGGTGTTCTGTTGGATTGAAGGTCTCTGATCTGTCCAGTCAACACTGGAAGGTCGTGGATTTACACGCATGTGCTTTCTGATGGACCCTCTGCTTCCCACTGCCTGCGTCTCCTCCTCCACGTGACTCATTGTGTCAGAAACACAGATCCTATTTCCTGGGAACGTTCCAGGGGCACAAAAGGCTGTCACTCACAGCTTGGGAATTCTTCCCACAAACCCGGGACGCCCCCCCCACCCACTGCAGGGACCAACCTCCACTGGAAACATCATTATGCTACAACAAGCCTGCACCCGTCTCACTGCTCATGTGCGAACGTGGTGGGAACGTGGTGAGAATGTGGTGAGAATGTGGCGGGAACGTGGTGGGAACGTGGCGAGAATGTGGTGGGAACGTGGTGAGAATGTGGCGGGAATGTGGTGGGAACGTGGTGAGAACGTGGCAGGAACGTGGTGAGAATGTGGCGGGAACGTGGCGAGAATGTGGTGGGAACGTGGTGAGAATGTGGCGGGAACGTGGCGAGAACGTGGCGGGAACGTGGTGGGAATGTGGCGAGAACGTGGCGGGAACGTGGTGGGAACGTGGCGAGAATGTGGCAGGAACGTGGTGGGAACGTGGTGAGAATGTGGCGGGAACGTGGTGGGAACGTGGTGAGAATGTGGCGGGAACGTGGTGAGAATGTGGCGGGAACGTGGTGGGAACGTGGTGAGAATGTGGCGGGAACGTGGTGAGAATGTGG